ACCCACTAACACAGACCCACTAACACAGAACAGCTAACGCAGACCCGCTAACACAGACCCACTAACACAGACCCGCTAACACAGAACAGCTAACGCAGACCCGCTAACACAGACCCACTAACACAGACCCGCTAACACAGAACAGCTAACGCAGACCCGCTAACACAGACCCACTAACACAGACCCGCTAACACAGACCTAGTGTCTGGTTTGTTTCGCTGTGGGTTTTCCTTTTGCAGAACCCCAGACATTGTCACTTTGCTGTCGTTTTTCCATAGCGTGCTTGTAAAAACACCTGTATACCTCCATATCGCAAGTACAAATGCTACAGTTTTATGCCATTTGTTCACACATTCTCACACTCTTAACCTTCCCATGGTGTTCGGCTCGGCACCGACCTGTTTGTAAGTTTAAAATGCATAAAAGCACCACATAGATTTGTGTACTGCATCAAGGCTTTTTGACTTTGTCAGGAACCTCTATTTAAACAAAATAAATTTAAACAGTTTTTTTCACTAGGCAAGGCATGCCCAGACATGTAAGGCAAGATAAGACCAATTCAGTTTATTTATATAATTCTCTTGAGGTTTATTTTACCATAATTTTTTTTTTATTGAAAACGAGAGGCATGCTGTCAAAAGAAAGGTCCAGAAAGCCACACCAAAAACATTAAAACTAATCTTTTAATGGATAAGGGAGCTTAACAAGGTAACTAAGAGGTAAGAAACAAATGGGATGATAAATTATTGTTTTGAGGGTATTTTATGGCTGATTTAACACACGGATCAGCACCAACCCATAAAACATAAGCAAAAGACATATGACAAAGTTTAAGCATCTGACATGCACAAAAGTAAGATACACAAAATTACAGTAATTATATATATATATCAAGACACTCATATCCACCTGGCAAAGAGAAGAGATCTGATCCATACAAGGACTTGCCAGCAGAGGGCAGTGTGATGACTAAACACTGGACTATGTGTGATTCAGAAGGGCTAAAATGTGAGTCAATGAAAGGGATACAGTTTTAAAGCCAAACAAAAGCTTTTATTGACCATTTTTATAACCAAACAATTATCTGCTAATTTATTCATGCACAGAAATGAAACCCTACAATGGTTACCAACAATTCTTCTGGTCGGAACTGGAGTGCTGAAATTGGGCCATAAAAGAATCCACTGAGGAAAACAAGACGACAAAGTCCTCCTTCCTAATTCTCACTCTCCTGAAGGGTTTCTGTGAGAAGCTATCAAATCCTAGGAGCAACATCCATATTCTTCTGTATAATAGGCAGCAATTCATGAAACACTAGACTGGGACTTGCTTGAGTTTTCTGAGTAACGTGTTGGACATCCAAGATGTTGATGTTATTCCTTATAAATAATGCAATTTAAGCACAGCTCTTTTTACCTTAACCTCACACAGAAGATCCTCTCGGTCCTGGTGAAACATCGAAGCTGCATTATGTTTATAAATTATGGAACAGATGTTATATTAAATATAAGTATTTTAATAAAACTAACTCTGCATTATGTACTTACAGTATGTAAGGAGACAGACAGGTAAATGGCATAACAGTCACAAACATGTATTTTATTTTAGTTTGCAGCCACATGGGAGTCTTTATAATCCTATAGCAGGGAATCGCGTAAATGCCAATATTTCTGCACTTCTGTAGCTAGCTGTTCTTCAAATACATGAGCCATGTTTTTTTCAGTCCAGTCAGAGGGGGTGGGGATGTTTTCTCAATATGCGTACTTGATTATATTTGTTGTCTCACATACCTGTTTTATGTCATCTTCAATTGCTGAAAACCAGGTCCAATACTAAGAACAAAAGTACAGGGGATGTATCATGGGATTGCTCTGGCTGGTAAGGATGCAACAAACGCATCCTTGATATTTGGGACGGTGCAAGAACAACATCCGGGGATTTTTACCATCAACTGTACTTCTGTTATTGAGTATTGAAACTGTACTCTGGCAATGGAAGATAATGTCAAATGGGTACGAGAGAAGACAAGTATGGTCAAGTACACATATTGATAAACACCTGAGGTCTCCGTGCCTGACCTGAGTGGCGAGAATTACACCACAGCAGCACACACTGTGGTGCATCCATGTCTGCAGTATTGCTAAAATGAAACATCAGCAGTTCACATCAAGAAAACTGCAACTGATCTATGAGGCAGATACATCGCAGGACAAACTGTATTGTGTGGATCAATCAGAAGCAAAACAAAAATGAACAACATGGACTCGTTGCAATATGACCAGTTCCTCCAGCAAGTCTACTGACAAATCAGAGGCAATGCAAAATACAAACACAAAATGTCTGGGAAGAAGCAAAACAAACTACAAACAAACAAAAAATCTGGCTCTCTGAGGCAGGAGGACCAACAGCTACTCCTCTGTATTGCTACCTATCTGTACATATGTAGTCTTATAGAACGTACAACTGCGGAAAAAATTAAGTGACCACTCCATATTGTTTTTAATAAATCTGGATTTTTAAATCCTGGTTTAATCCTGGTTCTGCTGACAGAAGGCTACACTGTGAGGCAGGCTGCTTCCAGGCTACACATTTCTAAGTCAGCAGTACAAAAGAACAAGGAGAAGCGGGAGACACTGGGAACACAAGTGCATTGCCAGGACAGTTCGTATCAGGCTCCTAGAAGCAGGAATGAAGACCCATAAAGCAAGGAAGCAGCCCTTCATCAACGAGAAACAGAGAAGATCCAGGCTGCAGTTCACAATATATATATATATATATATATATATATATATATATATATATATATATATATATATATATATATATATAT